GAGGAGGAGGAGGAAGAGGAGGAAAAAAGGGCAATAACAAAAAGTCCAAACTTGTGTAATTGTTTTTTTCTTTTCCTTTTTTGTCTCACACAGGTCTTGCTATGTTCCCCTAGCTGGCCTGATACTACGACTATAGCTCAGGCTGGTCTTAAACTCATAGCGACGCTCCTGCCTCAGCCACCTGAGAACAGGATTACATGTGGGCATCCTGACACAAGTGTTAGGGTTTCCACACTAATATTAAGCTTACCTCCTGGAGGGCAGGAGAAGTAGCTCAGAGGTAGAGTAGCTGCCTAGCATGCACAGGCCGTGTCAATTCCCATAATGCAGCAACGTACAAAACCTTCCACCCTGGGGACAAGTTTCCTGTCTGTATTAATACTTAGAGAAGAACGGTCGGGAAGAAAGGAAACTAGGAATGTTATGGGCACAGAACACGAGCAATAGCTGGTATGGTGGCCCAGGTCTATAATCCCAGTACTGAATAACACTGAGTAAGTGAAAGCACTCTCAGAAGTTCAAGGTCAGCATTGGCCATGTTAGAGGGCTGGAGGCCAGCCTGGGATATATGAGACCTTGTCTCAAAAACAAGAATAAGAATATTTAGTAAAGTCCTATAAAGGACAGTATCATTTTTATGAAATGTCTTTGAAATAATTCATATTCAAAAGTTACTAAGAAGGCAGTGGGTGTTCTAGGAGAAGCCAAAATTTACTGTAACTAAAGTACTTCTCTGAACATGTGTATAATAGTATTAACTCATAGCTATTCTTTAACTTGAGTGAATTTACCTGGGTTACGGTACAAAGAGCAGTTCCTGGGACTGAGTTTCCTAGTCTTTTTACGGAATGATAGCTGGAAAGATGATAATATGCACATGTCCCTTTTAATAAGCAATGTAATGTTCACATTACTTAGAATCAATTTTAGCCCCAAATAGCTAACTAACGTCCATGAAGCAAAAGTTTGTAGAGACAGCTTTCACTTTCTAGGAAGCATATGTATCTAAATACACATAAACAAAGACATAAAGAGTAGTCAGAAGAATTTAAAAGATGAGCTATTATTTTAAGCAAATTTTTTATCAAGTCAGAAACATAAAAAAGCAGTTATTTGGAATATAAGAGATTTCTTAGAAACAAACACATATAATGACAGATTCTAAACCCAGATATATTAAAGGACAATTTAGATAAATAGATAGATTGATTATTTATATATCATTTCTGTCTGCACACCAGAAGATGGCATCAGATCTTATTACAGATGGTTATGAATCACCATGTGGTTTTTAGGAATTGAACACAGGATCTTTGAAAAAACAAGTGTTCTTAACCTCTGAGCCATCTTTCCAGCTAAACGACAATTTAGAAGTATTTAAATATGAATCAGGTTTTAGCTAAAATGAACTATTACCTTTAATTGTAAGAGCTGTTTTGTTATGCTATTATAAAAGATAGGTACAATCAAGTAGTAAGTATGTATATAAATTAAGAAGAAATTATATAAATCATATAAAACAAAAAGAAGTAAGGTACAAGTTATTCAAAACTTTAAAAGAAATACGAATAAACAAATGAGAAAACTGTGCTACAGATTCATGGTTAAAGCTGATGAATGCATTTTAGGGGTAATGAAAACCATGATCTAGATGAGATAAAGGTCACCCAGGAAAGTAAGTAAAGCAAGACAAAAAGATGCAAACTGACCAGATAACATTACAAACCAGACACAGGAATCAGGACTCTCAATACTGGCAGAGAACTGGTGAGCAGAAAGCTGAGGATGACAATGATCCCAGAATATTCCAGAAGTGAATGGAGTTTCAAGGTAGGGCAATTAATGCCAAACCCAGTTTGAGGGTGTGGCTCAGTGGTAGAGCATTCACCTAGCATGCACAGGGCCATGAACTCAATCCTCAACACCAGAATCAACACGGTATAACACCCGGAAGAGAAAGGAAGCCGGCTCCAGACTAAAAGGAGACTAACAAAACAAGGTCTGTGATGGCCTGATTAGGAGTCTCAGTCAAGACTGAAGACAAGCTGAACTCATACAAGGGGCTGGAGTTAAATAGTAGAAAATGTATAGGTTTGGAACTTCCCAGAAAGATAAGAATCTATACAAATTAATGTACAATATCCAGCTAGTGTCTAGTAATTATTGTAACAATACAGGACAGGAAAGTGCTAAGCGGGGGAAGGACAAGAGGCTGACAGTGGAGGATCCTCTCTGGAGTTTCAGGTAATGACCACTTGAGAGAAGTACTTGCTACTGCATATACAATGGCCCCAAGTTTATTAAATTCTACTTTGGTTCTTCATGCTGGTTTCCTAATGGGGTGCTCCTGTAACCTGATAGATATATATTTTTCACTGTGAGAAAAATATATATCTGGTGCCCTTGAAGGTTGAATGTAAAACAGAGCTGGGAAGATGGTGCAGTGGGTAAGAGCACTGGCTCTTCAAGCATGAGGATCCAAGTAAGGACCTGAGTTTTAATCTCCAGCACCAAGGCAAAACAAAAGGCGTGGCTGCACTTGTCTGCAACCTCAGCAACTGGAGATAGAGATGAGTGGATCCTGAGAGCCAACTGGCTAGCCAGCCAGCGTTGGTGAAAAGAACTCCCAGGTTGGTGAAGACTACACTTCAAGGTGTAAGCGGACACCTAGAGGACACTGCTGTGGCCTACACAATGTGCGAACAAATACTGTGCCTACATGTGCCCACACCACACACACAAATTTGGATGTAAGCTGGGTATGGTAGCATATACCTGCAAAATTCTACCTGTAACAAGGATATTAAGCTGGAAAAAATGAGTGACTTCCTTTTTGGAGGAATATGCTATGTGTAGAAAGTCCTGCAAGAGCTGATAATTATGCTGCCCTGAGGTTGTTCAGCTTTCTCAATACAGTCAGGATACCTTTCCATACTAATCATGATCCTTTAGGAAAGGCAAAGTAGGCATGGTGGCTCATGCCTATAATCCCTATGTTTATTGTCCCAGCACTTGGGAGGTGGGGAAAGGAGAATTTGTCAAATCTTAGCTACAATGAGACTCAACAAAACTAAAGAAAAGCCCTACAATTACTTAACTAAATTCTTCTACTTAAAAAAAAAAAAAAAGTACTCTTACCCTAAAATAAGAAATATCAGGCATTGTAGCACATACATTTAATCCCAGTACTCCCTATGAGTTCCAAGCCAGCCAAGGCTACACAGTAAGACCCTGTCATAAGGAGGAAAGGAGAGAGGAATAGAGGAAGGGAGAAAGGGAGGGAGGGAGAAAGGAAGGGAAGAAGGAAGGAAGGAAGGCAGATTAGTAAAATTTTATGTATTAGTAATTACCAAATTCTGAACATAATTTCTAAAAAAATAAAGTCTTCCAAATACTGGAAAAAATTTTTTTAAAAGAGGCTTAATGCAGATTAAATATCAGCTTTAAGAGGGACATACAGGACATGCAGATGACACAGTGGACAAGAGGCATTTGGTGCCAAGTCTGACCTTAGTTTAATTCCTAGAGCTCACACAGGAGAAAACTGACTCCTTAAAAGTTGTTCTCTGACCTCCACACGCATACCTCATACCCACACATACATGCATACAAGGGGGAAAAACATCCATTTAATAGTTTCATTAGAAACTATTAAGGCAACACCATCATCCTTATTACATATACAAAAGATGAAATCCTGTGACAGCTAAATTACTTAAGATTAAAAATAAACCAACCTGTCTATTTCGTATGATGAATCTTAAGAATATTCTAAAACAAAGACAAGCAAAATCAAAGTAAAGGCATGATTTTTTGTGAGCTACATTAAATTTACATGAAAAATGGGGTAATACAGAAAAATATATACTGGTTCCACAACAACGTGATATCTAACAATGACAACTGTACTGCTGAAATTGGGTGTAATAGTAAATTTTATGTCCTGTACTTTTACCACAATCAATAAAAAGTGAATCTATGTCCTTCAGGCATGAACACAAGCAGGCAAAACATTTATACACAAAAGATAAACAGATGGTGTTGATGAGATGGCTCATTGGTTAAGAACACTGGTTGCTCTTCCAGAAGACCTGGGTTCAATTCTCAGCACTCCCTGGGACTAACAACCATCTTTAGCTCTAGTTCTAGAGGATTCAATGCCCTCTTCTGTTCTCTATTGGTACTGCATGCAGGCAAACAAATACCCATACACATAAATTAAAGAAAAAAAAAGTTTCTTTTCAAGGGCTGACAAGATGGCTCAATGGGTAAAGGTGCTTACTACACAAGCCTGGTGACCATTCTACGCCCAGAACCAATGTAAAGGTGGGAGGAGACAGCTGACTCCACAAAGCTGTTTTCCAACTTCCATTTAAACACAGGTGTGCAGTGGGCACCTATACAGCTATATCCCTGCCAAATACATCTATGCTTTCCATTACTAAGGCACATATATAATACCAATATATAACATACAAAATCCCAATAACCACATTTCACCCCAAATATAAGCTTACTTAAATATTCTCTAACATGGATGTAACTTTCACATTCAGACAAAGGACCCAAGTTGGGAATGGTGGCATATGCCATAATCCTACGCACTTGGGAGGTAGAAGTAGGAGGATCAGAATTTCAATGTTGGCCTACATAGATTTTAAGGCCAGCCTGGGCTACACAGATAATGTGTGCATTCAAAAAGCAAAAACACCAGAAAAAAAAAAAATCATTGGAAGTTGAGACTGACATTAAATACTGAGCTGAAATGTAGGTTTTACACATGTAGCTGACAATAACCTTTAAGGCTTCACCTGTCTCTGTGTGTTTACATATGTGCCACCATGCCCAGTTTATGTAGGTAAGTCCTCTACAAACTAAGCTACATCTCCAAGCCTCCAACTAAACTATACACGCAACGGAGTATGCGGAGATTGAGTCAGGCATTTTAAAACATATTTAAAACAACTATTGTTAGCTGTATTTGTAAAGCACCATCTCACCTGCGTGGCCTAGTCCTTGGGGACATCATTTCATTGCCGAGAATGTGGTACCGTCTTGCTTCATGAAGCAACTGATAACACTCAGGGGAATTCTGGATCAACTGGTCCACCTCAACTGTCTGAACAAAGTAGTTAGGATGTAAGAGAGGGAGCCTGACATGCGTCAACAGCTCATGTAACAGTGGTCTTCGCAGATCAACGGCTCGGTAGACCCAGCGCATGACGGCCTCGAAAACCATCTCTTCTTTGCCAATCACAAGCTCATCACTGCAGATATAATCAATAAGTTCATCTTTGTCAAGCTCAAGAAATTCTTCGTGCTGGGACACATCCTCAAAAGTCTGTAATGCAAAGGTCTTGCATTTTGTGAAGAGAGTCTTGAGTGAGTGGGTGTCTGCAAAACGCTGGATTCCTAAGCAATTGCAAGGATCAAGCTGCTCCTCTAAGAATTTGGCACACGCGTCCCGGAGAACACTGATCTGAAAGAGGCTGGAGGTTTCAAAGAGATACTGGACATTCTCTGTTGTGATCTTCACCTTCCCAGTGTACACATACTGCAAAAAGCACTCCATAGCTTCAGCTAAAATGCCATTGATCTCAACCAGCATTTCTCTGCTCTCCCTGTGGTCGTTACAGAACATGGCTCTGAAGTAGCTGCTACAGGCTGAGAGAACAGCTCGATGGCACGGGAACTCTTTTCCTTCCACACAGATGATAACATCTGTGAACAGGCGGCTGTCTCGGAACTCATTAAATATCTGGAGTATGTTCTCAGCATGGGATGATCCTGAAGAGAAGTCAAAATACTCATGACCTGTCAGAGATTTGGGGTCCATTTCAAAAACTTTTCGCTTAGTTGCTGGCGAATCACGCACCCCAAGATCCTCTCTATTTAGTCTGCGTCCCAATATTAGTACCATTGTTATAGCAGTTTACTATATAATTGTTGAGAAATGGCTCCTAGGGCTCTTCTTTATGTGTCTAAAGAAAAATAAAAATAATTAGACAATTTCACTTGTATGTAAACATATCAAAGTCACATGATTATTATATTCTATAATATACACTAGCTCGTTTTAATAAAAGCTGATGAAAATTTGTATTTTCAGGATTAGAACATATGAGAATTAATTTGTGGGAGTCTAGCGGTCCTCAGCTCAAAGGGGTATACACATTCTTCCAGATGATCAATTTCTGCCCTCTCCTACACAGCAGAGAAGAAAGCACAGCGAACAGGACTGGCAATCCTTCAGCTGTTGTTTGGTTTGAAACAAGGTCTTCCCTATATAGCCCAGGATGGTCTGAACTCCTCCTACTTCAGCCTCCTAGAAGCATGCTTCACTGGGCATGGCTTATAGCCACAATCTTAAAGTTATTTTCATAATATAGCAGTTCTAGAATTTACCTATCACTATACTTTAAAAATATGTAAACTGGGGGCTGGAAAGATGGCTCAGAGGGTAAGAGCACTATCCGCTCTTCTACAGGTATTAAGCAACCACATGATGGCTCAAAACACTGGGATCTGATGCCCTCTTCTGGCATGCAGGTGTATAAGAAGACAGAGCACTCATTACATAAACTAAAACTAAATAAAATCTTTAAAAAATACATAAACTGTTTGACCAGCCTCATTTTTTACCATTTTCTTGAAGAGATGATCAGGAATTTGTGAAACAATTTACATAGATGTTCAGGGTTGTACTGACAGAAAGTACTTTTTTATGACAAGCTAAAGGCCCTTAATTAAACCACTGGATATCTTCATGATGGAATAGTTTATTACAGCTATTAAAAAAAATATATGGACTTGAGTTGGGGCATAGCTCAGTTGGTAAACTGTTTACCTAGTATGCCATGAAGCCTGTGTTTGGTATCACATAAACTAGGTTCATGGTACACATTTGTAATCTCACCATTTGGAAGGTAGAGGCGGGGAAACTCAAGAGTTCAAGGTCATGCTTGGCTATGTGATGAATTCAAGGCTGGTCTGGGCTACCTAGAGAGCACCAGCAGGCCAACTAAGGCTACCTAAATGAGATCCTGTCTCAAAAGAACGAAAAGGAACTGTCTTTAGTTGAATGACTAAATCCTTTGGTTGCTCACTCATAGCCATCTTTGAGGGACTGCGACATGTTTCTTAGTCATAGATGGGAGCTGTTGTGATGGCTCGGTAGATAAGCGTGATGACCTGAGTTGGATCCCCAGAACCCATGTAGTAGTGAGGACTGACTCCTGCAAGTCATTTTCTGACATCTAGATACATTCTATGGCACACATGTGCCCTCCAGCACAGATAGATAGGTAGGTAGGTAGGTAGGTAGGTAGGTAGGTAGATAGGTAGATAGATAGATAGATAGATAGATAGATAGATAGATAGATATAGATAAATAAATAAATGTGACAATAAAGAGCAGTGCCTAAATAACAGGCACATTTAACAATATAAAACAGCACTACCTATTTGTAATGGAAATTTGAAGAAAACTGTATTAGTTAGGGTTACTACTGCTATTATAAAACACTATGACCCAAGCCAGGCATGGAGGTGCATACCTTTAATCCTACCACTCAGGAGGCAGAGGCAGGTGTGAATTCAAGGCTAGCCTGGTCTATAAAGTGAGTCCAGGGCCCAGGGGAGCTTGCGGAGACTGAAGCACCAACCAAGGACCATGCATGGACTGGACCTAAGACCCCTACACATATGTACCCAATGGACAGCTTGGTCTTCATATGGGTTCCGTAGTAAGGGGAACAGGCGCTGTCTTTGATCACTTCCCCTTGGCAGGGCTGCCTTGCCAGGCCACCATGGAAAAGGATACACCCAGTCCTGATTCAACCTGATGTACTGGGATGGGGGAGCTCCCCTTTTCTGTGGGGGAGGGAAGGGGTTGGTGGAAGAGGGAAAGAAGGTGGAGTCTGGAGGAGAGGAAAGAGAGGACTACTATTGGGATATAAGGTGAATAAAAAATTAAAAACAAACAAACAAAAACCAAAGTGAATCCAGGCTGGCCAGGGCTCTGTTACACAGTAAAATCCTACAAACCAAACAAACAAAAACCAAAAACACCATGACTAAAAGCAATTTGATTAGTAAAGGGTTTATTTTAGCTTGCAACTTTCAGGGTCACACTCCATCAGTGGGAAACTTAGGGCAGGAACTTGAGGCAGGAACCGAAGAAAATGGCAAGAAGTACTATTTACTGGCTTGTATCCTACATCCTACGTTGTGCTTAGCCCACTTTCTTACACCCTCAGGACCACCTGCCCAGGACCTCCATGTGGCCTGGGTCCACCTATGTCAATCACCAAAACATTGTCCTACCGACTTAACTACAAGCAATCTAATGGGAGTACTTTCTCAACTGAGGTTCCTCTTCCCTAAAGTTGAAAAAAAATAACCAGCACAATCACAGAAGCAATAAATGAGTACCTTCTATTTTCTAACCTTAGGTGCAAAAGACTATCTGGCTAGTACATCTAGTCTTTAGAAGAAATCAACAGCGCGTGATTACAAAATAATACTGCATGATGATGTAGCACAGACAATATGCCAAATTAGAGTCCTCCTTTTACATTAATTTTTTTTTTAGCACTTAAGATGCCTAAAATTACTAAAGAACATAATAGTCATTGATTTCTTCTGAGAATGTGGAGGACAGGGAAGATCAGGAACAAGTAAGCATGGTATATCCCTGTAAACACAGTACTTGTGTGGTAGAGGCAGGAGGATCACCAGTTCAAGGTCATCCTCAGCTAGAGAAAATTCTAGGTTAGCCTGATACATGAGAGCCTGTCTCAAAACAAGCACACACACAGAATTGGTTAATGACATAGCAAATAATTCACATTTGAATTTTTACGAGTCTAGATTCAAATTAGTCTGACTTAGTCAAAAGTCAGTTTCCCAAATCAAGAATTTAGGAAATCAAGAATTTATTCTTTGTATCAGCTCACCTAGTTTAACATAATCATCACTACTGTATTTCAGGCTCAAAAAGAATCACATAAACCACTGAACTTTGATTAGTGATATAAATAACTCGTGTTGACAATAAAAAAGAAAAAAAAGTCTTTAAGCTGGGTGTGGCGATGTATGCCTACAGTCTCAGCCTCCAGGAGGCAGAGGCAGATGGCTGTAGGCCTGAGGCCAGCCTGACTTACTCAGAGACATGCTGTCTAAAAACTCAAAAAAGAATAAAACAATAAATGAATCAGCTAACAGGGACAGCAAAACAGACAAACACACCCTCACCTACTTGGCCTTTCTGGTGCCACACACATTTGCATTTCCTTGATACTTAAAGGAGAACACGCGCCTGCTTTCTGTAGCTAGTGCAATGTATCATCATTAGGTAAATTTAGGGACATAAAAGTTTATTAAAACTTGCTGGTGGTGCATGCCTTTCATCCCAGCACTTGGACGGCAGAGGCAGGTGGATTTCTGTGAGTTGGAAGCCAGCCTGGTCTACAGAGCTAGTTTCACGATAGCCAAGTCTACACAGAATTCCTGTCTCAAAAATAAAAACAAACAACCAAACAACAACAAAAACCACCTTGCTGTGTCTGGCTTTCTAAGAAAACTCCATTAACTAGCCTTCCACAACAGAACCAAATAAAAATTCTTACTACTTATCCCAGGGTCAGTGATTTACACAGCCTGCCAATATGACATGCTTTCAAAGGTTAACTTTTGATCTTCCATTTATAATTAATCAGCCTTTGTTTTTCCATTTTTATAAAGTATTTGCTTAATTAAAAAAATAAACTAGTAATAGTTTATTTAAGTAGTAGTAGTTAAAAATGTAACCATGTTTACTGAGTGTTGGGATTACAGCTGTGCCTCACCACACTCAGCCCAGATTCAGCCCGATTCTGTCATAAGAGAGAATTGGTCAATGTTATTCTGACTAGCATCAAATTACCCCAGGTTAAAGAAATAGAATGGTTTAAACTAATAACAATGTTGAAATAGCCAATAAACACAAATATACCTTCTCAGCATTTGTTTGACCAAAGCCCCAGGCAAAATACTTGTGTTGTTTAAATGTCCACACCTAAAATAGAGAACAACATATTAAGTCAGATGCTATCAGCTCAGGTACCCTAGTAATATGCTGAAAACAGTTCTTGGTAAATTCCAGTTTCTTCCTGAAGTTCACTTTTACACAGATCTTTAAAAGTAACACTTTCTTGTTGCCAAGTGTGGAGGTGCACGTCTTTAACCCCAGCACTTGGGAGGCACAGGAAGGTGAATCTCTTTGAGTTCCAGGAAAGCCAGGGCTACATAAGAAACCCCATCTTAACAAAAACAAAAACAAACACAAACAAACAAAAAACCCCAACTCCCCCAAAGTAAATTAATAGTTTATATGCAATTATATTCAAATTTCTTTTACTTTTTGTGGTAATAATAAGCTAAATTTGACAGTAGGATGAAGAAATGTACACACTGTAATAATTGCACTTTGAATATTTGAAAAATGCCAAAAAACTGACTTTCCATTCAAATTTGATGAAATTAATTTATTGTATAAGAGTTGATGTACCAACATGACCAAAGTAAACAGTTTATTCACTACATACCATATATAACTATGGAATCAATTTGAGAAGTCTCAAGAGTTAAAAATAGGATAAGAAAACCCACCCACTTTTAAGCTTTTGTTATATACAATTCTAAATAGAATTTTTAAGCTTATCTAATAATTACTATAGAATTCTGCTTTACTGAACCTTATAGTTAATGTCTACGGCAACTACCATCTCTCCTCTATGCATGAGGGTAACGTGTGCATGAGTGTGAGAGAGTGAGTGTGTAAGAGATGGAGAAGAATACTTAGGAGAACCACCAGGATTTAGAGCAGTGAATAGGACAGCAATCAGATTTAACTGCAACTGGTTGGTTCTGGTTTCTGATCTAGTCATCCATAAAGAACTTGTTGCTATCAATATAAATAACCAATTTTTAAGAAAGATATATACAATCACATCTTTATACCCAGACTACGCTATGATTAGGACATGAATACTATCTTGTATGTCTCCTTGCTTTCATTAGGCAGTCTAATTTGTGTATACACTTAATGAAGAATGCTGCATCTTAGTCAAGTCGGGCAACGGTTAGGCCTACCTAAGTATTCTTTACCAGTAGTTAGTAAGGCCCAAAGAAATGAAAGAGTCCCACTTGTGTCTGACACCAAGGTAGCAAATGTTAGATTCAAATTCAATTTTAGACACTGTAGGATTGGCTACAATCCTAGAAAAAAACAAGAACTCCAAGGTTAACAGTGAAATGGATCCAAATTCTCAGCATTTCTCTAGTAGAAAACTCAAGCACAAATTGGAATGCAGTCTCTCATGATTCGTTTGGTGTAGAATTAAACCATCTGAACTTGAAAATAACTCATCCAGCCAGGACTGTCTACAAGACTTTTAGGTAACACTTAAGCTTTTTTCTTTTAGACTGTTATTTTTGTTGTTTGAGATAGGGCTTCTCTGTGTAGCTCTGGCTATCTTGGAACTCACTATGTAGATCAGGCTGGCCTATAATTTACAAAGATCTGGCTGCCTCTGGGATTAAAGGGGCCAGAAGGCCCAGTTAGGTAATCCCAAGAAGCCAACTAGATAAAGGGCAAGGGATATATATGATCAAAGTACGAAGCCTGGAGGAGCTATATATGGTGTGATTTACAGTGTAGCAGAACAAGCTTTGTCTTCCTTTAAAAGAATCCTCAACAAAGAGGTCACAGACTCTATCGACCAACTAGGGTCTCCCAAAGACCACAGAACAAGAAACTAAAGATATTCTACTAGGATAGTACCTACAACTTGCCAACCATCCATCCATCCATCCATCGTGTTCCACATTACGTTTTTCTAAACTGAACCACAGATAAGTCAGGAACAAGAAAGGGTAACTGAGAAGAGACTTATCCTTAAAAGATGTAAAAGAATGCTAACAAATGCTTCCAACAGACAAATCCTTTACAAAGCACTATACTAAACCCAGCAACCGGGCAGGTTTTCACATATTTGTATAAATTTCACAAGCTTCCATAAAATATAAAACATATATTTTACAAATATATGTTTTTATATATATATTTTACAAATATATATATAAGTTTCAGGAATTTTCACTGTCTAAAAAGCTCTCCCTAAGTTACGCTCCTCGCTAGACCCGACATGGAAACAATGCCATTTTGAAGGGTTTTGTTTTGTTTTGTTTAATCTCCCACCCCTGTACTTACTGCAATTTTATTTAAAAATGAAAGGCCAAGCAAAGAGTGAACACCTGTAATCCCAGCACTCCAGAAGCTGAGGCAGGAGGAGTCCTGTGAATTCAAGGCTATTCTGATTTACACAGCAAGTACCAGGCCAGCCAGGGCTACAAAAGAAGATCCTGTTTTGTGTGCAAGGGAGAAATAAGACTTTTGACAGTTACCCTTTCTGCTACCAAACTTAGTTTTGCCTCACTACAACTAAACCATTAACAACCAAATGCTCTGTGACCTGGCCTTTTAATACACAAAACCACTCAGAAAGCATTGATTTTTATTTAACATAGTTCTGCACAAATTACTCAGAAATAATTTTAGAAACTCCAACAAAACTTAATCACTTTGTTTTGAGACAGTGTCTCCTTGTGTATTCCACGCTTGGTGCAAACTCCAGACTCCCTTGCTGGCGTTACAGGCTTGAACTCAACTTTAACAACGTTCTCTTCATTTATTTTAGAATGTTTTAGGTCTTCTAAGATGATCAGCCAAATGGGGAGCACTCAGTGGCTAGCATGTGTGAGAACACCCTTGGTTCAATCCTCAGTATCAAAGGAAAGTGGGGGCCGGTGCTGAGAGAACTGCAATTCTTGAAGTTAATTCCCTATTCTGCTGTTGCTTCCAGACCCCAATTGTCTACGCTGCCCAGGCTGATCTTGAACTCCTGGGTCTGCTGAGTAATCAGTCCTCTTGCCTCAGCCTCCTAAATAACTGGAACTTCCCACAGGGGACTCAACTTGTTGAGCCTTTCATAGCATGAAAAACAGAGATGTTAAAACGTCCAACTGCATTGTTGCAGTCACAACAGAAATGAAATCATGTTTTGTTGTTTTTTTGTATTAATGCTTGGGAGGACATTTTTCATCACAGAGTCCACACCTACATATTTGATCAAAGAGCTGTCCTAAGAGAAAAGTACACACAAGAATAAATGCTGCAACATATTTGCTAAGTATTTCTTTACCAAAGGCTTGACCTTTGACTCTTAATGAAATGGCACGAAAACAAGGAAGTTAAAAAGCACAGTGAAAAAGCATTAAGGGTTTAGCAATTTGGACAAAAGCCAGGAAAGCTTAAGATATAACTGATAACTTAGACTATTATTTTATTCTTCCTGTTTTAGAGACTAAGTCACAAGCTTTGTTTGAAAAAAAAAAATGCTTATCAAATGGTAGTTTTTATTAAAGTATAGTGGACTGAATTTGTATATGTTAGGGTCTATTAAATACCTTTAGTATACTAGTGATTATATGCTCTGATCAGACAGCTTCTTACTCTAATACAGTCATTAATTAGTACTTGAATTTTTAATATTAAGAGGGGCTGGAGCAATGGTTCAGCAGTACTCTTGCAGAGGACCCAGGTTCGGTTCACAGCACCCAAAAGGTCGCTGACAACCTGAGCCACCTGTAGCTCCAGCTCCGGGAGAGCTCAGACCCTCTTCTGGCCTTCTTCAGCACTGAACGATACACCCTGGCAGATACACACTGGCGAAACACCCACGGGGAATAAGTGAACCTTAAAGTATTACTAAGACTGTATAACTAGGAAGGCCTGCTTCACTGAATCGGCTCAATTTTTCTGCTCTAAAGTGACAAAAGCTAAGTGCCCACCAAGCCTAAGAGCTTTAATATCCTCTGGCTGAAAATGACTGGCCTTTCAATGATCTTAACATACAGCTTTCCAAAACACACCTTCAAATCGCTCTTCAGAAACTTAGGAATTACCTGGAAGATTAATACAAGAAAATATGTGTACGGGAAATCCCCAAACAAGGAAAACTAGAAAAGCGCATTCTAAAAAAAAAAAAAAAAAAAAAAAAAAAAAAAAAAAAAAAAAAAAAAACTTTAACTTTTAGGCGAATAACTTCAATTTCTCTCTCTCTCTCTTTTTTTTTTTTAAGGTAAAAGGCAACTTTCAGGTCTTTTATGTGGCAAGGGGTAGATTTTAAATCCTAATAAAGAAAAACAAAACACCAAACCCTTGTCAACCACCTGGTGGATTTGCCGGGTATCAGCAGCAAACACTAACACGCCATTTAGAAAGAAAGTAAAAAAAATGACTTATGGTTAAAATCCCCTAGAACTGACATTGAGGCTTCCCCAAATGTGGCCTTGTGGCTCTCCCTTTACCACCTAAGGCTGGACCGAGCAGGCAAGGGCAAACTCGCAGCAGCGCAGTTTTGCGCACTGTCCCAGCGCGGCTGGCCAGGAGCTGTCGGCTCCGGGTTAGCTCGGGCCTCCGCCGGGCACGCCCCGAAGCACTGCGCCCCTCCCGCGGCGCCCGCGTCCTCCAGGTCACCTTCAAGCGAGGGCGGGACTGCCCGGTGCGGGCCACTCAGCCACCAGCCCCCGCCCATAAAAACTCGGAATTCGCTGGCCCGGTCTCGCCGGCGGCACCCAATCCCGGCCGCCCGAACGGTCTTCTCCTCGGGTGTCCAGCACTTGGGGGCGGGAACACTGGGAACTAAATTAAGAAGCGGAGCCCGGAGAAGGAAGCGGGCTGCCGGGCGGGGGCTCCCCGGGGACGGCCCGCAGCCCCGCTCCCGGTAAACAAAGGCTCGGCGGGGGCGGGTAACGGTCAGGTGACCACGCCCAGCAGGTTTCGCAATCGCGCCGCGGGCGGCGGTGGCCCCGGCAACCCGACCCCTGTCCGTGCTCGGCGACAGCACCCACGGTCGCCCTCACCCCACGGAAACGCCAGGTCCGAGGCCGCAGCCCTCCGGACGCCTCCGCCCGAAGCGCATCGCCGCCGCGGGGCAGTCCCCGCCCGGTCCCCACGCCCGAGGCCGCGCCGGGCTTCCAGCTGCCGGGGGCCTCGCCTCCCTCCCGCAGGTGCTGGTGGTCAGTGCCGCGGTCGCGGGCCGTCTGGAGCGGCCACCCTTGGTACCTCTCGGCGCAGGCTGGAAGCGGCCCGAGCGGCGACCCGCTGTCTCTGCTGCGCCGGCGTCTCCCGAAGCCACCAGTCCCTGCCACTGCTCACAACAAAGGAAACATGTGACCGTCGGGCCAAAACACTCAGCGTCACTCACCCTTGGCCAATGGGGATGCATCCCTTCCCGGAGTACCCTGGGAGATGTAGTTTTTACTGTCGCTGGGTTTCCCGGCCACCTGGGTTCGCTGTAGAGCGAAACATTTATTTAAGGTAGAATCAGGATAAAGGAATGCATTTTGAACAAGGCCCGAGTGGTATGTTGACTGTCTTCAAAGAGCCCTCTACATGCCAAAGCACAAGACCCGGACTTAGCCGACCTTAGAGCTTGGAATAAGGCTTGTTTGTTTTAATTAACACTTTCTAACACACTTGGGAAATCAGAGGGCCTGAGGGGCGGAATGTGCTAGGTGCATGGTCACCAGCACAGAGGAAGCTATCTTTGTAAATATGTTAAGGTCGCTTGTATCAGAGCCTATGTTGGCCTTTTGTTGTTATTGTTTTAATCAGGTGCAGGAGTCGAACAAAAGTTGTAACAAAATTTTATTTTCCAAGGCACAGATCCTCCTCCAAAATGTTGTTTTGGTTTTAAGAGATTCTTTTTTAAGGATGACCGTCCTCCTTAAACCATTTAGTTAGTCCTAGCTTCTGATAAAAGTTATATTTCTTTCTTCCACACATTAAGAGAGAGTCGCGCCTCTGTTAAAAGGAAGGAGATGAGTTGCCACAAGGTGGAGATATGAGGAGAGTTGACATGCAGGCCATTTAATATGCTTTTAGACTGCCTTTTTACCTCCTACTAACCTTAAAAAAATGCTTATTGAGTACTTTCTGTGGGAGGGGAAACATTTCTGACTTTCCGAGTGTTCATGGATAGACTTGCAATAAAACTGCTTGCCATTCTGGCTTGACCAGTTGCTGCTATCAGCTTTGAGAATCCGTATCTTTGGTTGGCTCTTGTCGGGACACAGATTCATTTGAATATACTCTCCCCTCTTCCTTCCTCTTCTCCCTTCCCCCTCTCCCCTGATCCCCTCTTCTTTTTTCCCCTTCTCTTCCCCCCTCCATGCTCCTCTTCAAGTTTATTTAAAGAAGACACTTAACTTGAAGGAGAACTATCTAGCATTCATTTTTTTGAAATTATTTTAATTATTTTTTTAATCCTTTGAGCGTACGTGTCTGTATTGGGTATATGCATCTGAGCGCAGGTGCTGGTGGAGGTCAGAGACATTGGGAGCTAGCTAGCTACCTGATGTGGATGCTGGGAGTGGAACTCCAGATACAGCAGTAAGTTCTTTTAACCACTAAGTCTATTTTTTCTATATTTTTTAAAGGTTTTATTTTTTGCATTTGAGTGTTTTGCCTGCACCTGTGTCTTCGCACAGTGCACATGCATGCATCGTCCATGGAGGCCAGAAGAGGGCACCAGATTCCCCAGAACTGGCATTACAGAGGGTTGTGAGTCACCAGGAGGGGATGCTGGGACTGTAGCCTTCAACCTCTGGGAAAACTTTCAGTGTTCTTAACAACGGAGCCACCTCTCTAGCTCCTTTATTTGTTTTCAAAACAGGGTCTTAATATTTCTCAGGTTGACCTCTAACTCACTTTTTTTTTTTTTTTTCAGGGAGGGAGATTTAGGAGAGAGTAGCTGAGTCTAGTCATTTTTCAAGCAAGTGATATCTTAATGCTGCAGCAAGCAGTATGGTAGGAGTCCAAAGTAAGAAGCTCAGTTCCATTCAAAGTAAAAAAAAAAAAAAGTAAAAGACAATGTGTCTATTCTTAAAGGTTTCTGAGGGAAGGAGGATCTTACATTGTAAGGAAGCCAGATTAGTTAATATGTGGCCTATGCTATATGAACAAGGTGGAAGAATGGAGCTTATGTGACGTGAACTACATAAGGTCATGAGATCACCTTGATGGGTAGGGAGTTATGGCTTGGTTAATATGTGACCTATGAAATGTGCCAACAGTCAAATAGCCTTTAACTTTTAGAAGACAGTGAGGCTGGAGTGTTCTGCCTTGATTGCAACTTTGGTCTGGTTTAGAAGGCCTGGGTTCTCTAAAAGCAATGCAGCTGAGGACACCATTGAACTTCTAATCTTTCTGCCTCCATCTCCTGAATACTAGGTTTATGGGTATATGCAACCATGCCCAGCTTATCCAGTTCTGCGGATGGAGCCAGGGTTCCAGGCATGTTAGCATACCGTACATTGGTAAATTGTTGTGTGCTGTTTGAGCTTCCTAAGAAGCTGGCTTTGGAAGTGGTGTTCCTTCCCTCCCAACTCAGACCCAAGCGTGTGTATCTCAAAGTGTCCTTCAAGGTGCCTTATCTGGAGATAAGTTGTTCTGTGACTCTGTGGCAGGGAGGGAAGAAAACAGCCCAAGAGTAAAACATAAAAATGGCTGTGTCCTTGAAAACAGCTAGGAAGTGAATCATCTCAAAGAGAGGTTAGAATGGGAAAAGGAAGTTGGGTTCAGCCATAGGAAGCTCATTCCTGGAGAGAAAGTTGAAGATGTAACTCCAGCTGACTGCCTCAACTTCCCCAGTTGATTTCTTCTGGATGTTGTGATGATGTTATCATCATCATAGGATGATGTTATCTCTATCTGCTGCTATTCATTCTGATTTAAAAAAAAAAGATTTATTATGTTTTTATGTGTATGGATATGTCTACACCTGAGAAGAGAACATCAGATCCTATGGCACTACAGTTATAGATAATTGTGAACTGCCATTTAATTGAGGACATGCTTACAGTTTCAGAGCATTGAAGCATGATCATCATGGCAGGGAACATGTTAGCAGGCAAGCAAGGCGTGGTGCTGGAAAAGTAGCTAAGAGCTCACATGTGATCTGGAGAGAGAGAGAGAGAGAGAGAGAGAGAGAGAGAATGAATGTGAATATGTGAATGATGCCAGCCCTTCCATTTGCTTTTGAAACCTCAAAGCCCACTTGCCTCCTCCAACAAGGCCACACCTCCTAATCTCTTCTAAATGGTTCCACTAACTCAGGAACAAGCATTCAAATATATGAGTCTATGGGAGCCATTCTCATTCAAAGCACCATAGGGTCTGTTTGGTATTTGTGTTCCTGATCCCAGTTTTTTGCTCCAGTGCCATGTAAAGGCATGCATTGACCTCAGCCTGATCTGCCATGCCTGGCACTGTTCTCCTTGAAGATGCAAACAAGTTCTAAGAATTTATCTTGTCCATTTGTGATCCCAAGGTTGTATTTCTTTTTTTACTCCATTACATAAGCTTAGCGCTTTGAAAGCTGTATCCCCTATCTCAGTGTTTGCTTTATAGTTGGAGGCTTGGTTCAAAAGTTAGCATTGCTTCCTAGTATCCACGTATTTGAGTATCTTTCTCAGCCTGTTTTCTCATCTTCAAAATGAGGATAAAACTGGGAGTGGTGATACCCACTTATAATCTCAGTTCTTGGGAGGTTGAGACAGGAAGATCAGGAGTTTAAGGCCAGCCTAGATTACATAACAAAACTCCGTCTCACCAAACCAAAAACAAATAAAGAAATGTAAAATATAAAAATAAAATGAAGGCCAAGTGTGGTGGCATATGCCTGTAATCCCAGCACCCAGGGAGTCAGAGGCAGGAAAATCACTGTGAGTTCAAAGCCACCCTGGTCAACAAAGCGAGTCCAGGAGAGCACAGACTATCCTGAGAAACTCTGTCTCAAAAAACAAACAAACAAACAAAAAACAAACAAACAAACAAACAAAAAAAATTAAGATAAAAGTGTGACTATGAGGCTTCAATAAGGAAAAAAAAAAAAAAAGCAAATGTGTAGCACTTAGGATATAGCAAATACTTAACAGCAACCAAGAACGGTCATCATCCTTTCACCAATTCTAAAGACATATTTATGTTATTCTATGTATACTTTTATGTGCCTGAGTGTACCACATGAATATAGGTGCCCACAGAGGCCAAGAAGATGGCGTTGGATACCCCATTTCCAAGGTGAGTGCTAGAACCAGCCCTGGCCTCTGCAAGGACACTATGTGGTCTCAACTACTAAACCGTCTTTCCCGATCCTCTAACACTGTTTTTTCCTTAAGAACAAGAGGGGTAAGGAAGGAAATAAATGAAGAGTAAAAGAGATAGACTATCTCTATAGTGACTTAGAAAAATAGGTTTTAACAAAGAAACTCAGAAATTAAAGCTAACAGAAGTCACAGAAATAAGCATATGCTAACTACTGGCACAACTCAAGGTAAATGTAAGCTTCATAAGGCTAGAGAAAAAGGTATTATGAAACTTGCCTCTCTGGTTACTATTTTGTTTGTTTGTTTGTTTGTTTGTTTGTTTGTTTTGGGCTTTGAGACAGGGTCTTTCCCTGTAGCCCAGGATGACCTTGAACTCACTATGAAACCCAGGCTGACATTGAACTCATTAGAATTCTCCTGCCTCAGCTTCTAAAGTGCCGGGAGTTACAGACATGAGCCACCTTGCCTAGCTTTTAAAATAGTCTTCATTTATTTTATTGTGTCTTGTTACGTATCTCAGGCTAACATTAAAACTCACAGCAATCCTCCTGCCTCAGTCTACCAAGTGCTGGGTTTATAGACATGTGCTACTCCACCAGGCTTCTGTAGATCCTCTTTAGACTTGTTCTATATTATACATTCCTGCACAAAGGACATTGCAGAGGGGAGGGCTTACTGTTTGTGTTGGGGGAATATAATTTGTTGTAAAACTAGACTGCATTTAGAAATGTTGAGATAGATTTTAAATAGCTGGAAGAAAGGTAATTTGATATACTAGTATCAGGGAAATAGGCTTTACAAATCTTAATATCCCATCTGAAAACTATAATTTATGAAAATATAATTTAAATGTTTCAGGAATTGACAAGGAAATAATAAATGACTGATCTATAGATGTCGTTATATTAAAGCCACTTTAATTAAAAATACATTAAA